GAAGTGTATATAACAAAATGATACTCAAATATATGAATAGTCAACAAACCACATTGTTTAATGACAAACCGAAACGAACATTAGGGCAGTGAAGAATAATATTCACTTTTTTCCCTCTTTCAGTCAATTATCGCTCGACGGAAAGCTGTTGAAGCAGCTTTGAAAAGGGCAGCCTTATCAGAAACTATTCAATAACAGATTGAAGGAAATCCACTTCCAACCTCAACATAAGACATATAATTATCAGTTTATTCTATACGCCTAATATCATTTGTTTCTTCACTTACTCATCTATTCATTAAACAATTGCCCTCGAACTCAATCGAAATATGATTATTGCAGATATTCAATGACTCATGTGATTATATTTTACTATCATTTTCATTATTATTGTCATTGTTATCATTAATATTATTGTTCTAGGAAACTTGTTTCTTTCTTTTGTTTGTGTAGTTTACTCTTATTTTTTCCACATTCTATCATTACATTAATTATCTTATGTATGTTATAGTTACAGAGCAGTATGAAAGTATCTAGATAATTTGGTCAGTTTATTTGTTAAAGTTCAAACTACTTTAAATGTTAGCGATGTTTTTTCCTTCAAAACAGAACACATAAAAGATAAAAAAGGAAAGAACTCTATCTTGGTCACATATTCAATTTTGTTGGCGTAGATATTTGCGCATTTCAAAAATGTTCATGGTAATAATATTGGAGTTTTCTTTGTTCAAGAATTATATAGTCTTCTGGCTTATAGATATACATTTTAAAACAACGATGTACTATCATTTTACTCGGCCTTCAATATTTGTGTCATTCTATGAGTTACTTATTTCAGACTCATTTTAATGTACGAGATACAGTGAATTATTATGAGGGGATTTTGGAGGAATCGTTCATTTGTAATTAGCTTAGAGATTGATTCTGGAAGTTGGAGTGAAAACCTGTGATCAGAAGTTTATCTAAATCGGTAGGCGATATAGCTATCTTCGATGACACCAAATCGTCACGCAATACTGCGCATTGATAGAAATTAGACAGACTCCGTGAGTTATCATGACTTGAAAATTCTCAACCAACCATATATGATGTTTACAGTGTGTAGTGTTCAGGGTTCCAGAACTACGAGAGATCAGTTATTTTGCACGCCTTGATTTTTAATGGTTATCCAACCATCAATTTGTAGTGAGAATCTGTTCTATGTTGAAGTTTGTAATGTTAATAATAGTAATAATCTTGAAAGTTTTACAATTTCGTCAATCGATGAAATTCAAATACCTTCCACTAAATTTATATCGCTTCACTAGGTTTCATGAATGATATCAACCTGTAATTTAAATAGCACACAACACTAAGCAATACGTATTTTAATTTTGTAATTACTATATGTGGTTATTCATTACAGAAAGGAAATCTTCATTTAGCTGAACAGTTACCTGACTATGTAACGCTAATACTATCGGTGACAAAAATATATATCAGAAGGGGTTTTGTGATTTTAGAAATTTCACTGATTGAAATGATGAGTCAATTGAAGCTAGACCACCATAGTCTGCTCACTAGTGACTGACTTCAAGAGATACTCCTGGAGTTCTACTGAGAAGCCGTTACCAGTGGAGTTCAACCAGGTCTGCTGTGTGATATCAACTCACTGGAGACAATGGCGCAACTTCGTGGGTTGGTTGAAGTTAGACATTAATATTGTTGGATGCCGGCTCAGTGGTCTGATTGGTTGAGCACCTGGCGCGAGACTGATAGGTGCTGGGTTCGAGTCTCGCGGGGTCGTGGATGCACACTGCTGAGGAGTCCCGTACTAGGATGGAACGGCCGTCCATTACTTCCAGGTTTCCCATGGTGGTCTAGCTTCAATTGACTAATGATTTCAATCAGTGAAGAATGTATGTTGTTCATTCCCATACAATTACAGCAAAATCAGGGAATGAATGTTTAACGCAGACCAGACTTGGAAAACACATAGCTGTTCTCGGTATTGTAAACTAATTGGAATGCTTTATGAAGCGCGCAGCAACAAATATTAATCGGTTCCGGGAGCATTTTCTAAGACCACCTGGCTTGCATCCTTATATAACATATGTGGGATTTCCAACTATGGAGGTGTCTCAAGAATTAAAGTATCTAAAATAAACACTTCTTATGAGCCCAAAGATCTAAGAAGCCTCAGTCAACTTCAGCAATGTTTCAATGGGGGCTTGTGAATACGGCCAGCGCCAGTCTGTTATAGATTTTAGTGTTTACTTACTGGTGACATGGCTCAGAATTGATCACAATGGTGGTGTGTGCACTCTTCGTGTTCCCTTAAATCGTGAGATTAAAATTACATATTCTTATATGCAATCTTTCTTTTGTATATTACCACCATTGTATTAACTACTTCTATGAAGTCGGTGTTCATCTTGGGCTAATTTGGAACGATGAATATATGTGCCTGGTCCCACGTTGTAGCTGACTGGTGCAACTATCGTCTTCTAACGTAAAGTCTAAGGAGGGATGGGAGACATTGGAAACACCCAACTCGGTTCGGTTATTAATTAATTTAACAAATATATGGACGACACTTCCGTCACGTTGACTGTATCCTTTCAACAAGTGCAAACTATTACTTGAGCCACTTAAAATGTATGTAGCACAGTTACACAAAAATTGTCATTCGAATTAAGTTTCGACTAAAGTATTGGCTAAACATACCGTTACTGAGTAAAAGGGACATCAATTTTCGAAAAATGCTTCCAAACCTTAGATGGGAAAACAATTCTGTAAGTATGCCACGTGACCTATATAAATATTTTTAGTGTAAACTTGAATGACCTAAATTATTATTTTTCAAATAATGTCTTAAAACAATCCGAAAAATGTAGGTTGAGGAATTACCGGTGTAGATGTTAAACCGAGGATTATTAGTTAAAATGAAAAGTTCACGCGTTGACGACTACTTTTCATTGCTTTGTGATGCACATCAAGTTTGATTATTTCCTGTGATATCTGCTTTATTTAAAGGATAAATTTTTGTTAGTAGCATTTAATACGTGCTTGACGATATAGTGTGACACACTTTTCGATTATTTTACCAAACTAATATTGTGACTCAACAGTCACAGAAATTGACGAGTCTTAATACTTCTATTGCTCACGGCCCATCCATTAAATAGAATGGATGTAGTGACTGGGAAACAGACCTATACATTGTTGAACTACTAGGATTCATACCATACATCACACAAAAAGAATGGTGAAAATTCTAAACGCAATTAGATAGTAAGATTTTCTCTAAAAGTTCAACAACAGTTGTCGTACTAGGAGTGCAACATTTACGTAACTTACGACAGCTTAATAGCATGTGACAAAATAGAATGGGAACCTTTACTTTATTTCGTAGTTTAACTAAATTACACGACCAGTTATTCTCCATCGGTAGACGTTTTAAATTAGGGAATGAACCACCACGAATCAAGAACATGCTGTATAAGTGACAGTGAGATTTATTGGTGATAATACCAATAAAATATTTAACAAAACATCTAGTGAAATATCCAGGAACATACTGCATGAAGATTAAGTCCTTAAATTAACTTGTGTGCATAAATAGTAAGATACTAGTCTCAGACACTTATGTCCGTCTATCAATCCACATTCTTGTGTTGAACCATTCTAGTCAACTGAGTTAATAGCCAACTCGAGCAAACAGGTTCTGAAACACCATAGCTTGATTAGCCATAAAAATGTCAACTTCTTAATTTGACTATTCATTCAAAACAATCTACAAGGTCCAATCGCACCAAGTTAACGGACTTTGTTAAGTCGATTTCAGATACGTGAATCACCGATGAAGTTCAATTTTAAACCCGATTTTATTTTACAAAAGTGAAATATATATATTCAGATCTGACTGTGAGTAAATTATTTTACTGTATCATTTGATCTACCTGTTTGCTTTCAGCCAGTATCAAGAAAATGTCATGATGGCCACCAACTTAACCGAGGGATACGAAATTTTTCATTGGTTACAAATGTTTATAAATTCAGGTCTTGGTTTAAAACTGCACATTCACAAAAACCCTTGAAATTGCCCAGTTGGGTTTAGTCTTTAATATTTAAGAGTAATAAATACCCTCACAATGAATAAAAAAATATCATATTCGTTCGCTAATGAATGAATGGTTACTTTTCAAGAGTCATTATTCCTGATATTATTCTGAGATGCTATGTGGTTGAAGGTAGTCAACAGGAAACTCTGGACCCAGGTTTTGTGCTATTTGACACTCGTTATTACGAAGTACCTGCAATCTTTAGGGAACTGCTGCTACCTGTGGGATTTTAACCTGCATCCCCTAGATTTACATTCTGAGATGTTACCACTGACCTATTTCGGTCACGACATCCGACCACATAACATCTCACCATAGTCAAGTCACACTAGTGTTCATACGGTAACCTGGTCGACAGAATTCAATCAACACTAAACGCTTATACAAACAAGATATTGATCACTATTGATTGATCGGCCAATTGTAATTATTCTTTAATTTCCTTGTGGCTACTAAGTTTTGCACAAATTCGAACGTCAGAGTCACACAGCCAACACCTGCAAATATGATACATATTAACAGAAATAATTCATAATGAAAACTGAACCGATATACATAAAATATGATGATTTTATTTCATATGAACAACAAGAACTGTATGTTTTATTATGTAGTTGGGTTATTTTACATCATACATCACAAGATGCTAATTGCACGAAGTTAAAATACTCACTTAAAAGTAATAATAATTGAGTATACAAATAAGTAACACGAAGTTTAATATCGCTTTTGCCCATATTACGATTAGCAAAACGCTAATGAATATAAGGTAGTAAAAACAATGTACAATAAATGTATAGTTTAGAATCTTTTCAAAATAATTGAATAAGTACAGAATATATTTAACTAAAAAACAATATCCATTGATTAGATTAACTAAGACAGTTATCATCATTTTTATGTAGACACTTTTCTATCAACATGCTCTTTAAATAGGATATCGTTTTCACAATAATTTGGACAAGAACATATGGAATTATTTAATCCTACAGACCATTTAGCACTATTCACAGTATTACGAAATAACATAGCGATTGAAACTGGACCAACACCACCTGGAACTGGTGTAATCCACTTCGCGTTTTCTATAGCTGTTTCAAATTCTACATCACCGACACATCGTGATTTGTTTGGATTTTGAGGATCTGTTTAAACGGAAATAACAATAATTGTAATGATAAATATGTATATTTATATAACGTTGCTTAAAATGTTCGGTTTCAGATCATTCAGTAGAATTAGTGAACCTGTAAACCAACAAATTCTGATAATAACAGTTTAGTAGTACAAGTTTTCTGCTTCCATCCAATAGGTTACAGGTTCAAACTCCGCCCTCCATTACTCTGGTTTGGGTTGCTGGGTAATATTACCAGCCCTCATACAAACAGTTTGCTCAAAGCTTAGTACATAAATTCCTGCATTCAGTAAAGGAGTTACACTAATAATTGACGAATTAAATTTGATAATAATTAGTCTGAACCAAACCATAGTTGCTATCTTGACAACGTGGTAGGGGTTTACATATCGTAATGATCTATTCGACATATATTGCACGAAACAACCCTTTATGACTTACCATAGCAAGCAGGTAGATCGGGGAACGGCAAGACTAAAAGTAGTAACTTAGGTTAAGAGGGAGAAGCTATTCTTCTAACCTTACACGGATGTGGTTGCTGTAAGGTGTTTTCCTCAAACAAACAGAATCTCCAGAGATACTGTATTGAATGAGAACACAAGTGGGGACAACCAAATGTATTTCAGCACAAAATCTCTTGGTAAAATCTGAGAATCATACAGTAAATACTTCATTTGCAAAATATTAATCAATCGTCTCAGACTTCACTGCTCCTTCATTTCCACACCAATTATTCTCTGTTCTCGTTCTCTTTTCTTTGATCTTCTTAACCTTCTGTCACCAGGCAATTTACCTTCGATTGATGATACAGTAGCATACACCACAATACCATCCCCAATAAAGAGAGGAGGTTAGAAAAGGTAAACCCTAAAATGTCACACCTCACACTACCCAGAGAATTTCTGAATCCAGGGATAAGGCCTTTTGATGTACGGAACTAACACATCAAAATCTGACCACAAAGTGGTCGTATGTGGCTGGCCTCAAGTAGTTGTCTCTTGGTCTCTGTGGTTACTACTACTAAGACAGATTCCTTTTTAGATCACCCATGGAAAATTATTCTTTCATGACGTAGGCAACCGGGAAATGACAAACCGTCCCCATACCACTGATAGCAAACCATACATACCACAGTTTACATCCTTCAAGTTATTACAAGTACATCAATAACCAATGTATAACATATTCTTACTGAATCATTTTCTCGTGCACACCACCAATCCACCATGTCCATCACATATTCGAGTTGTACAAGTTAGAACGAAAAACTGTCAGTTCAAATTGCCATACTTCATTAGCAGTTCAGTGAACGTAAATTAACAAGCATGAAAGTAATGGTATTGAAATTATAGGTAATTATTTTTATAGTATTCTGTTACGTGAAAACTTATTTACAAAAAGACATATTAAGGCTTAAAACAACAGATTTAATTCCACTTACCATTCAGAACAGAATAGCCGCAATCAATTACCAATGCTCCTGGTCTAATCCATTCACCCTTTATTAATCTTGGATGTCCAACTGCTGAGATGACAACATCACCTCGCTTAATTTCTTCGTTAATATTATTTGACTGTATATGACATTGTATAACTGTTGCACCGCACGACCGTGACAACAAGTCCGCTGTGGGTGCTCCAACAAGACGACCACCACCAATGATTACACAGCGTGAACCAATTATAGGAAAATTTACATGACGAATAAAAGCATAGCATGCGGCTGCTGTACAAGGTATATGAACATGCTGTTGTTTTACGTTTTCACAGTGAGGACATAGTATATCCCCACGACTTAATACAGCTGTATTATAAGCATTTAGACTAAAGGTAAAGAACAAGCAGAAAAATTGCTACAAAGATAAGTGTCTATAAAAGGTATGATATACTTTAAGACACAAGGAAATTATCAGTGAGTCTTTAAGACTAACTGAATAAAAATACAGTTTCCTTGAAACTACGCGGAATTTAGGCCTATAAATTTTTTTAAAAACTATCGTACAGATTGGAATATGTAGCGATAAAGTGAACATCCGTAACGTAAGTGATGTTCGTTGGCAAGCATATATCAACTAATGATAAATGTGATTTGATGTATTTCCTTTGATACCAACAAAAACAAACACTGGAGATTATTTAAAAATTAAACATCAACTACTAAGAACATTAAAAATTGTAATATAAAAAGAAAACGTATGAGCAAATAACCTACCGACTGAATCAAAAATTAATAAAGCTATGCAGTCACAAATGTTTTTGCCAACCTGAGTACATATTTCAGAAACATACAGTCCACCCAATAATGGACCAGTCTTGTTTAAATGTCACGTTATTCATTCGAAATATACCGCAAAAAGACATGACTTGGCAAATAAATACGTAGATACCTGATCGATTTGACAACATTCTCACTCAAAAAGGTAACTGGAGAGCCACAAAAATATGAGCAGTTTTTGTCTGCATTTTGTCAGGTTGAGGTTCTTAAAACACTGAATAATTGCAGACTCTGGATGGAAAGGTTTAAAATCTGTTGTAGGGACATAAACGAATATTATGATTATCATGCTTCATATGTAGATGCTGACTTAGTTTTGAATAATAACGTGGTAATCGAACCACGTAATTAATAATATATCATTCTATACCTACTTATTGATTATCACAAGGTTGTACTTACGTATTTTCCATTTGACTAATTGTACCAACATACTTCTAAACCCTACTTTCGTTTTAGTTTATATTCCCTGATCGTTAAGTTTATGAAAACTGGGACAGAGATTATAATTTCATTCCAAATGAGGACTTATCAACGCACTCATTCGACCACATATGAAGTTGAGTAAGCACGGCATTGTTATCAATTTCAAAGGTTTTTATTTCATTGTTGTTAATATTCCAAATGGAATTTCATTATTCTTTGACAGCAAATGAGGTCTTACGCCGAATGGAATTACATCCAATTAATGATGCCTAGCAGGGTGAAATGTGAGTCCAGGATTCTGTTGCTTGATAGTTTCTAAAATATCATCAACTTCTAAATAAAGATACCCATTTTAGAAAGTTCATGCTACAACAATGAGCGAATTCATCCCTTAATATTAACAATAAGAAACTACAAACCATAGCACGTAGTAAGCAATGAGGGGTAGTTTCAATTACAAAGATAATATATCATCTCAGTGTCAAACAAATAATGATTACCTGTTTAATTATACAAAGTTATTTTGCAAAATGTTCAGAAGAGTTATTTCGAATGTAATTAAAAATGAATGGACATTGACTTCTTCAACAAATCTAAACCCAACTGACGTATAACACTATTCCCGATTACTGATAAAAAGAAAATAGCGGAAAAAAACTTAACGGTATACAAAGAGAATAAGTGGATAAATAGATAACTTACCCTTCAACATCCTTGAGAGTAGCAACAGCATTCAGTGAATTAGTAACATTAATATTTGAATCGGAATCAAACGGTAACTTCAAAAAAGGAAAGAAACATAGAAATGAAATGTGAACACAATTTTAATGATCGATTTAGTGCATTAGAATTGGTTTTGATTAGAATTTAAACGCCCTTACAATAAAAATACTTTAATAGATCACAACTGAACAAATTATTTCCTAATGGTTATGTGATGACTGGTTTGGTGAATTGTGACTAACTAAAAATGAATAACTTTTATACTAAGATACTATTTTTATGCTTAGGAAATTTTTCTAGCAAAGCTTGTCAGAAGTAAATGTAGACATTGTTAAAAGCTCTATCCCTTTTTGGAAAGGGAAAATCCCACCAGTCAATAGAACACAGGATGAAACACGTCTGATGCTTAACGTACATCAGTGTTCACATAAAAATATGTAGGTGCATAATTCGTAACAGAGTAAACAAAGAATATACGCAGGCATGGAAATATAATGAAAAGTAGAAACAAGAGTTAAGAACGAAAAGCAAATAATGTGAAAATGATCAGGATTTAAATAAGAATAAGGAATGAATACACCTATGCCACTGACTCACGTCACTTAAGGGACCCCGAATTCTATTATTACAGAATAAGGATAGGTATAATTTTTCTTCCACTTTGCTCAGCTATTCTCCATCCTAGTGGGATAGGTATAATAAAACGCTAAGATAAATATCATTAAACAGGAGTCCCATCTATAAGATATCTACCTACACAACAACCTAGTGCTTTTGTATCATTATTCTCGGCAACTACCAATCTAAATCTCCTTAAGCCAACAGGACATATCGGGTTAGACAATGATTTGGGAATTTTAACATATGATCTCTACAACTTCAAAATATCCATTAACTTACGAAACATTTATACATAAAACTTTAACATTACTTACTTAGTAGTCACAGAACATACAATTATTTTGAAGTGCATGTGGTACATCGACGATCTATGACATCTATTAGATAGACTGAGTTAAATATGCTTTTCTTATTCACGTTGAAAATTCATCAGTCACTGCTTCACTAAGGTTGGTTCAACTTTTTAAGTACTCGCGTACTTTATATTCTAATTTTAAGACAAATTATATTATTTTTATCAAGTGTCGTGTGCCAGATATTTTTTTTATTTATCGTCATTTTATTCTTTATTCTTAGGCTAACTCAAGACGTTGATGACAATATACTATATGTAACAGTTTTTGAATTTCGTGCACTTTGGGTAGATTACAGTAATTTCATGTGAGCAATATATTTTTTTTAATGTACGGCTAAATATCGTTGAACTCATTAGTTTTTTTTTGTAGAACGAAACCGAATAACAATGGTGAAAGTATACATTTATGCCCAGTAAAATACCTTAACTGAAACAGCAGTCACAAATAGGTAATTATCTAACACATTTGGGGACAGGTATAATTCATCTAAACATACAGTTAGTCCCTGGTTATTCAGACTTATTATGTTAACTAAATTTGGTGAGGAAACGTAAATTTTTCTCTTGAATAATAAGTCGGTATATAGGGTTGCAGAAATTTTGGGTGCTCGAGCAATAATTTCAGTACCCTGCTCGTACAGTTAACCACTGAACGGTTGTTTTCAAACATAGTTTTAAAATCCCAAATGTTTTTGTAATATGGCTTATTAACTAGTTTGTATTAAACGTTATCTCCCTTCCAAACATCTTTCAACGCTATACACTGCTTCGGATTATGGCAAAACAAGCAAGACTGAAGAAGTACTTTATCATGGCACTGTGTTTCGACAAGTCTGTCAAATATAGGCAACCTACAATGAGATTAACAATCTACGAAGTTGATTTTTTTATTGGAAAATGTTCTGAGTCTAGTGGAGAAGCTGTATTGAAAAGGAAGGCTAAATTAAAGCTAACATGTCAGTACATAGAAACCCCAAATACTAGTGCGCAAGTCACCAAACCAAACGAGGCCCAGGCTAAAATATCTGCCAGTAAATCGGAAATGTCACAAAAGTCGTATATGGTTAATCGGTCAAACAGAAAATTTGTAATTTGGCAAGTATCTGCATTTATCCACCGATGCATATGTGCGCTTGGTCCTATGTTGTAGCTGACTGACCCTATCTACATTCACACAATATCAGCATAAAGAGATATAAGTATACAGGTGAATAAGAAAGTAGTAGAAGTACCGGCGCTAGTGAAAAATATAAAGTATGGACAATATGATCAGAGAAAGAATTAATTGACGGAATAAAATGGGTAAAATAATTCTGAAGCTAATTGTGTAAGGGAGGACAAAAAATAAATGAATCTGTGATGTTGAGATCACTTCTGAGCCACGTCACCCAGTCTCCAATTCATAGTTACTATGGTTGGGCGGATCCCAACCACGTAATATGGCTGAGACCAATAGTCAATGACTTTGCATACTGATGTCACGTTTTGGTTTGGTCACTCATAGCCTTCTACTTTCATGTCGGCCAACATAGAGCATTGAGGTAAGTAGTAGTCGAGGATACGAAAAGCACATCCCAAACAACTCACTCAATAAAGACTTACAATCATATCAACAAATTCGACATCTTAATACCCTGAGCCTAACCTCAGCAATGTTTACTCAGTGGTTTCAACATATAAGAAAAATGATTTGGATACATCTCTGATTCAGTAACAATAGTCAACAAGCATCTTATACTCTTACCTTATGGGCCACGCATCACAAACAGAAGTTAAGAGAAAAATGTTAAGTAGTATACTCATTTGTTAGTTACGTGATGGTTATTTAGTCCACACCATAGGTAAAACAAGGTGACAAAAGCCAAGCAAGCCTTCTGAATTTGGACCGACATTTTGTTAAACACTAACCCAATATGGCTGATGAGACTTCAAATATAAGCTAAGTGGTCAATGGGCCCAAATATTTTACTGCTGGTTTAAGTAACAATTGGAATCATAGTTAAACAACTTACTTGTAAAGTGATACCGTGCACAGATGAATCAGAATTCAACTTATAAACGTAATCTAAAAGCTTTATTATTATCAACTTCTTTGTTAATCTATCTTACCACTGACTCAGGTATATGTGATGGAAATCGCATGTGAGACAAAAGTATGCCATACTTTTCTGCAAATTTGGATTTTTGCGTTATGTACAACTTTGACTGAGGTAGATTACCAACCTGCATATAGAAAAATCATATGGAATAAAAAGACAAATTACAGGAACGAAACACGGTGAGAGAAGCAAAGAAAGTGAAACAGTATTTTCTCCCTAGAAAGAACACGAGGATTGTTTTTGCTTACCAAGCCATAAATCAGAGACTAAATCATCTTTAAAAACGACGAGCAACTGTTTTGGGAAAAACTAACGCACAACAGGATTTCCTAGTTGTGAAAACAATAGATTACCGATAACTTGAACGACTTTTACGCTGGTTAAACCTTGCGAACGACGTTCAGCACTGGTGAAAAATTTATTATTTATTTACTTGAACACATAAATATTGGTACACAGGGGCACCAAATACATATGCGCCACACAAATCTCATTCGATATGTGTGAGGGCTGTGGTACTGCTCGGGTGCCCAGACCGAAGCAGGTGGTTTTCTTAGGGGGCCTCACTCGGAGCCTTCGACCTAAAGGTCTGATCCACAAGGGAGTGGAGCATCGTAAGGAGATGCAGTCCCATGGTAACCGGTGACCAACAATTGGTTCACACGCCATTTTTACCTCAGGATCCTCGAGCCCATGTGCACCATTGTTTTGAAATCCGGTTAAAGCGCCGGACATTCGCTTTTCGTCCTCTCATTTTCGTAAACAACACCTCCGCCACGAAAAGGCAGTGAGTAGGACTTCCCTGGCAGTGGCTGTATACGCGTGGCCGTGTGACAGCATTTCGAGAGGGAGGGTGGGCTCACCCCACTCTCGGCCATACCAGGGCACTTGGGGGCCCATCCCTAATATCCAAATAAAAATGGATTCTCCGCATTTCTATGACTTTCAAAACATATCTTTCAATCACAAACAATCTAGGTTACCAATGTTGAATTTTTATTTATTTGCCTTTTTTTCTTTATTAGTTGTCTTGTCCAAATTGTTTTTGGTCTGTCAATTTTCTTTTTAGTCAATTCATTTTCCGAAGTGTTACCTACTTTTGGTGTTTACTTGCGTAAAGTTTGTGAAGATGCACCTCACCTCATCCACTTTGTCACGTACTACAATAGTTTACGAGCAATCATCCCGATAATAGATGTCGTTATAGCTAGCTTACCGTGCATGGATGCTATGTGTTGTTACTTATCAGGTAAATAAACTGCTATATCAAGTGTACTTTTTCCTACCTTTTATACACAGCGTAATTTTTTGTAGTTTTAAAACTGCTCCACCGTATGCTTACAGAGAAATATTATTGTCTAGGCTGAAATTTTGATGTGATGCCAAAGCTCGGGAAAGTAAAGCTAAATTTGGGAAAAAATAATTTCTTTCTTCCAATATTCACTCACTGTTCATGCTTTCTAGATCCACATATCCTTCCTTCTTTAATACACATTGCTTGTGGTTGTCAAAAACAAAAGTCTGAACTACCTTTGGTTCGTGGAATTTTGGCCGATTTAAATGTATTATATAAAGATATCATCAAATCAATCAGTTCATGTTTAGAAGTAAGATAAAGAATTTTTTTATTTTCAAACTTAAATTATTAATTCCATCTTAATTTTAAGTAGAAAATTAAATTCATAATATGAGTCATTGGGAAGAAAACAGTTCTGCTAAATTGTAACTTCTTAGTGAAGATAATGCTAGTTTGAACCGTCTTTCCTCTGGTTGTAAACGAAGTTAGTGTTTTTCTGTATACATGAACTTTAGAACTAGATTTATTTAATTATTATTTATTTGAACACATAAATATTGGTACAAAGGGGCACCAAACACATATGCGCCACACAAGTCACTTGATTTGTGTGTGGGCTGTGGTACTGCCCGGGTGCGCAGACCGAAGCAGGTGATTTTCTTAGGGGGCCTCACTCGGAACCTTCGACCTAAAGGTCTGATCCACAAGACAATGGAGCAACATCAGAAGATGCAGTTGCGTGGTAGCCGGTGACCAACAATTGGTTCACACGCCATTTTTACCTCAGGATCCTCGAGCCCATGTGCACCATTGGTTTGGAATCAGGATTTCCCAACTCCATTAGATGGATTCTCCATATCCACCAACCCAGTTAAAGCGCTGGACATTCACTTTTCGTCCTCTCAATTTCGTAAAGAACACTCTTGCCACGAGAAGGCAGTGAGTAGGACTTCCCTGGCAGTGGCTGTATACGTGTGGCCATGTGAGAGCATTTCGAAACGGAGAGCTGACTCCCCACCCTGGGCCGTACCAGGGCATTTGGGGGCTACTACTGACAAACCACTGGAGTCAGAACGCCATGGAAATACATGCTTCGAGTAAACTAACAGCGTTGTAACACAATTAAATACATTCATAACTGATCACTTATCAAGTATTCGACGCACCCAACAAGACTTTTTATGCAATTGTTTTGACGTGAAAGTAAGTCTTCTTGAGTTCCGTATCTGATATTTATAACTGCCTATCAACACATTCAGGGTTTACGATGTACGTGCATCTCAACTAACTTTATGAGTAAGCATCAGCTATTGCTTAAAAACATGAACCTGTGTGATGGAAAGTGAAGTACTGTAAACTGGTTACCTTGAAAGTGACACTTTTGAACTATCTTATTTGATTGAGCAATAAAAAACTATAATTATGAATTGTAAGGATACAATATGTGATAAATACAATGGGGTCTGATTTAACAGCTATCAGGATTATCTCTAGTGGTTGGGCACTGACAAACAGTGCAATTGATTAAAACCTAATAATAACACTAACTTTGTAGATGACAAGAGTGGTTGCAACATCAAATAATTTAAATAGGAGCTATAAAATTCTCCAGAGACGCACTTGTTATCAGTTGTGGATAAATCCTTGGTGTAACTAACATAAGTACGGTGCAGTGTGGCGCTCGAAAAGTTACCACATACTTGGGCACAAACTTAGATATCGATCAGTTGATTTCATTCTCGCAACCTCGAAAATCATGTTAACCTTAACATTCAAGTACATTGAAATTCAGGTCGAAAAAATTAAATTTTCTTAACGTATTCAATACTTCAATTAACTCTTAAGTGCTTACAAAAGCTGAATTGATCGTAAGCACTAGTGTATAGTATAGTAGGTCACCAAACAACAGATGTGGCTTATAGTCTAGTGAATTACCCAGTACGTTAGCAATCACTTTTACAGTTTATTTCCTTTCACACTAATGACCGGTCATCAGTTAACTAGATTCAGTCGTAATGCAGATACATCGACCGTAGGGTTAAACTTTGAAGTGTCGACAAAGTATAGAAAGACTTAAAAAACATCATAGTTACGTTTATCTAAGTAATTCCATGAAACGGACTATTATAGTTATTAGGCAAAGAAAACGTTACTCAAGGTAAGAGAACCGCATGTATAAAACTATATATTTTAAATGTGACAGCCACAAACGAATCCTGAGGCTAATCATATAAATCACAAACTTTAATGCGACTAAGTTGTAGGGTTTTAACAGGAACAGTAATAACCCAGTAAGTTATAGATGTTTCGCAGATGGCGGTAGCATGAATCCAAGCATGTGATATTAACAGTTGCGATGCGTCCAGTTTAGGAAGTAGTCAATAAGCTACAAGCATCTGTTAAATTACAACGCATTCCGGAGACTAAAACGATAAAAGACCCAGGAAACTTACCTCAATAACGACCAATTTGGGAGAAATGTTGAAGTTTGATTTTAAATAAGCCACATCCGATCTAATTTTTTGACCAATAACTGAAATGATGAGCACAAAATTAGTGTAGTTATACCTTGGGCAATTTGTTGGCCACACAATGTTATTCCCTTAGACATTATAGAAATTGGATTCTAAAATAAAAACCGAAGAAATCACACTATTCAACCTCACCATCAGAACCAAGGTATTCTACAAAAAGACGTTGATACATTACACAAACGTCGAGTCAGAAATTTTCGGAAGATCAACAGAAGTTCAAGTGGCATTCAACCTCTATTTCAAAATATATATAATAAAGTTCCTCTAAAACTAGTATAAAGATCATTAATGCGCGCCATATTAAAAGGACAGTGGTATTTTGCCTCGCTCAGTTCATTTTATTGTTGTAATCGTTTATTCCGCATCAAGACTACTGTTTTCATCCTCGCTACGTATATTCCAGTCAACGTAATCGCTAAAAGTTTCGATTTTCTCGAAAATAACTTGAAAATAACTCGAAAATGTACTTTTCGAGTACATTGGTTTTCATGAATTTGTTTACACTTTTGGATCTTATACTTCTTTTGTGATCATCATATTTTTGTCTCTGGGTATTTTGTATGTTTAGTTTCTTGTGAAAACCTATGATTAATGACCGGACAGTGCAAAAACGTAGTTGCCAACGCCCAGTTTATTGGTACCCTGGGGACAGTGGTATCAGGTGTTTCGAATGGTTTGGAATGGAATAGAAGCTTTCGCTTAATGGGCTTCTGTATCTAGTAGCAGTGGATCACCGATACCTCCAGACAGGAACCTAGGTATATTGCCATGAGGAAAAAGAAATTGGTGAACCATAGTAAGATACTAACCTTAGTCTTTAAGAACATATCAGGTTTCCTCTTGAAGGACTCCTGGGAAGTCGCTTGGACTAGCTGAGCCGTCAGCGAAATCCAGCATTTGATTACTCTTAGGGAGTAGGTGTATCTACAGTCCACTCTGTTTTGTTGTCTCCAGTTCCTGGGTGTTACCCCCTAAGTTTGTGTTGGAAATAAACTTTAGGTATTTAAAGGGATGTCCAAAAGTACTTAGGATGCTGTAGGTCATTAGAACGTCACCTGTTATACGCCTGAACTCGGATGGTTAAAGGATCGGTGACTGAAGGTGCTCTTCATAAAGCTTGAATTTGAGTCCCCGACCTGATTTCGTGGATCGCCGTTGGATACGTTCGTGTGTTCTTATACTTTTTGACTGAGGGAGAAAATATTACACTCCCATGCCATGAGATCGAATAAAACTGTTTAAGGTTAATTGAAATTTTCTTCCCTCGAACTGCCTAAAAATGCGCTTTAGTGATACCAGCGTAAGGTTTGCTCGGAAGGCATTTACGTCGCAGATCATGGGATACCAACACTCAAGGGTTTTTTTCCAACTTGAAATACCTCTAGAGGGGAGTTACCTAAGTTGTATTCGAAGTCTGTAAAACGTCTCAGATGTATTACCTTGTGCTTTGAAATGTTGAAGGTACGTCTGCTGTTGTCTGCCCAACTTTGAAGTCGAGTCAGATCCTTTTGATACGACAGTTTATTGTGTGTGCTCTTCAGAGTTTTACGCTGTCAGTGAAAGATCTAAAGATACCTACTGTGGAAGATCGTTTACATAAATCAAGGAAAGAGGTCCTAGTACTGAATCTTGGGGGACCCCAGTACGACACAGCATAGCCTGAAAGTGAAGTTAACCCTGACATTAAAATGTCGATTTCTAGATATGAAGTGAGCCAATCAAACAAACGTGGTTTGATATCTAATCGTTTGAGCTTATTGACAAGATATATATGGTTGGCCTTATCGAAAGCTGTTGAGAAGTCAAGGTGCGATTAGTGCAATAGATGGTACTACGACGTTTTCACGAATCTAACGCCCGCGACTTTCAAACAGCTTAGTAAAGCAAGTGTAATCGAGACACATTAAATGGTTCCCGCCTAATCATTACACAAATTTACGTGAAGTTACCTCAAATAAGCTCCGAGACGGGTGACCTACATGGACCAGAGGAGGACGGATCGACATCGAAGTCTGTTAGAAATATAAGCTCAAGAGAGGGTTTCTTCTGTCTCTCGCTTTAGGTCTGTTTACAGCTGGAAAAACAACAATTTAACCACCCAGGTTCTCGACAATCCTCCAGGATCTTACGACATGTAGCGCGACTGTGATCGCTACTCCAATGAGAGCTGATGAAAAGGAATAAATCAATAGCCTGAAATGATACAATGTTGCCAAAGAATAGCTAGTCCTACAAACAGTAGCTCATAAACTGGATGCTATTTAAATTTGACAGGTCATTTTTTATCGATTCAAGCTAAATGAGGGCTCAGAACTCTCTTTGAGCATGAAATCGAGCTGATAAAGTATCTACCAGACCAGATCAGGAAATCTCTAGTCATCTTGCTAAAGGTATGGTGACTAATTACTTAAATGTACTTGAAGACAGAGTCAAACCTGGCTTCTAAAATTAGTGCCTCACTCTCTCAATGTAAGGGACTTGATACTACATAATGGATATAAAATAGAGGGGTCATAGGTTTTGACAGAAAAGACTTGCCTCTCACTGACCATATAAAAATATGAGAAGCTGATATGAAGTAAAACTAAGGTAAGACGCTGTTTAGAATGACGTTCTAAGTGAAGATTCCCAGGTGATGAGGCTTTGACAGAGAACGATGCCTAAGCCAATTCGTGTGCAGCACGAACACATTCTTAAGGTCATAGTTCACACCGAGCGCTCTACAAATCTATTTTATAACAACTATAAACTTTAAAAGTTGTATTGCATAAGTACTTAGCACGACCAGAATTCTAACACAACTATGCTGAAATTGGATCTGGTGTGTAAAGTGGACCAGAACTACAGACTTATAAATACCACTCGGAAGTGATACAATGTCAGTCATCGGATTACTTATTCGAGAAAAGTCTAATCGACCTGCCACAAAACGGCTGCGTTATAACAAGGTCCTGGGTTATATGCATGTTAGACTTCTTTAGAGTGGTTACTCGCATACGTTATCAAAAGGAACTCGTAGATGTACTTTGCTTAGACATCAAGAAAGCTTTTGACAAAGTACCGCATAACCTCATAATCAACAGACTTCAGTCAACTGAATTTACTAATCTCCTATCGGAATGGATTAAGTCTTTTCTCACAAGCAGATACTGAATGGTCAAAATGAACTCCACAACATCTATACCGCAGATAACAAACGGTGGTTTTGTTCAGAGTAGTATCTTACGTCCAGCGGCAAATGCTTTGAGTCACGGTATTATTATACCGGGTTCGGCCATCGATATGACGTTACCTGAGGCGCGCATATTAGTAAAATCGTAGTCAAATTTACTTATATTATATTTGCTGATGCATTTGATATTAATAATTGCGGCATGGGATTTATTCCCATCGTGAGAAAGCAATTCACATATACCAGTCTAGCCATAATACGTCACACAGTCGTACAACAAAGGTCTTACATCGTGATCTACACTGTTTCTTATGTGCTTTTCGAGGGACGATGCAAGCTTTGAGATTTATGGGCGTTAGTAAGCTAATTACGTTAAGTTTCTAATAAATTAGTCGGAGCGGAAGTGCTCGTGGGTATTTGTTTGAAGTTATGAGTTTGTTATATCGGGGGATAACCGACTTTCCGTCATTAAAACAGGTCGAAAATTGTTTAAAAATACCAGGGTTCTTATGTGGACCATTTCATTTGGTAAAGATAGTGCACTGACTAACATTTTTGTAGGTCTAGCGAGCATTTGTCTGATAGCAGGGCGTTATGTGTACCTGTTGTGTTGTTGGTTATGTCATCAAAAGAAGAGGAAGAAGTAAGCACACCGGCCTCATACTCATATTCGTTTGATTTATTATAAATGGGAGATATGTAGTCGGAGGGCAGTTTAGCGAAAAAAATGCATTACTTACTTACTTACTTACGCCTGTTACTCCTCGTGAAGGAGCATAGGCCGCTCACCAGCATTCGCCATCCAACCCTGTCCTGGGCAATCCTTTCTAGCTCCTTCCAGTTGTAATTCATCGTTTTCATATCTGCTTCTATTATCCGACGCAATGTGTTCTTTGGCCTTCCTCTTTTTCGCTTCCCTTCAGGATTCCAAGTCAGGGCTTGCCTCGTGATGCAGTTTGACGATTTGTGTAATGTATGTCCCATCCATTTCCATTGTCTTTTCCTAATTTCTTCTTCAGCTGGAAGTTGGTTTGTTCTCTCCCACAGAAGGCTGTTGCTGATCGCATCCGGTCAATGTTTGTTGGGCATCTTGCGTAGACAGCTATTTATAAATACTTGCACCTTCTTGATGGTGGTTGTTGTAGTTCTCCAAGTTTCAGCTCCATACAGTAGAACTGCCTTGACGTTGGTATTGAAGATTCTCACTTTGATATTGGTTGAAAGTTGTTTTGAGTTCCATATGTTCTTCAATTGTAGGAATGCGACCCTTGCTTTGCTAATCCTTGCATTTACGTCTGCATATGAACCTCCTTGTCCATCGACGATGCTTCCTAGGTATGTGAAGGATTCTACATCTTCCAGAGATTCGCCATCAAGAGTGATTGGATTGCTGTTCTCCACTTTGAATTTGAGGAACTTGGTTTTCCCTTTGTGTATGCTGAGGCCTACTGATGCAGAGACTGCTGCTACACTATCTGTCTTCATCTGCATCTGTTCGTGTGTACGTGATAGGAGGGCTAGGTCATCTGCGAAGTCCAAATCGTCTAACTGGTTCTGAGCTGCCCATTGTATTCCGTGTTTTCCCTCGGATGTCGAGGTCATCATAATTCAGTCGACTACCAGAAGAAAGAGGAAGGGAGAGAGTAAACAGCCTTGTCTGACTCCGGTCCTTACTTGGAATGCATCTGTCAGATGTCCTCCATGCACGACGTTGCATTGTAGTCCATCGTATGAGTTCCAGGTAATATTGACAATCTTCTCAGGACCT